GAGCCTGGATTTCCTAGTTTCAGTGTCCTGGACTGTCAGAGCTGGATGGTGGAGTGGAGGTAAAATGCTATGTCCTATGAGGCCGACCCACAGGCAAATGTCCCAGCTTAGCCTCCAGAGACTTCTCTGATTATATCAGGCATACATGTTTCTATGATCCTTCTCTCTATTTCTGTCTCTCTGGTGCTCTATAGCAAAATTAAATAATAATAATTGATAAAATTAAATAGGTAATTCCTAAAAAATGAAGTTTACTTTCATGAATACTATGTTGCTCACTTATTTATTGGAATGCTTACATTCCATTTATTATGTAAATTCTGTAATGCTAGCTATTATTTATTCAGTTCTTTTTTTATATGTGCCAACATTCTTACCTACTATACTATGCTATAAATAATTTCATCTACAGCTAAAATCCTATATAGCTCTACATAATATAGAATTATACTAGCATGCATACCATATATAGGTAATAATCATAGACACCATTTCTTGGAAGTTTATAATATGTATCATAATAATTTTATAAGGTAGATATTATTACTACCTTCATTATATTAATAAGGAAATTGAGGGTCAGAAAGGTCAAGTAACTTGACCAAGGTCACACAACTGATACAAATTTCATACAGTAAATGCTTTTGGTCACTAGTAATACCGGTGTTATACATTTTCTTTGGTATACAAAGTCTTGTATTATGTGCTTAAATATACAGCTCTAGAGCTGGGTGGGATTTTGGTAGATATTTTAATGGTAGAACCTAAAAATTATCCTTAAGTTTATTAAGCCTCATACAATGCTTGCTGATTTATTAGAAAAGATTTTTTTCAGCACTTTATTCTTAACAGTATGTCTACAATCACCACCTCGTTTTAAAAATTTAATCATATTAGTAGTCTTGAGTTTTAGCTAGTTGTTATTGGCCTTTGGATACTGTTAATTAACATAATATTTATTTTCCTAGGGAGATGAATGGGAATTATTGGTGCTTAAAAACAGGATATACTCTTTCTTTTATGTACTCTTGAATTTAAGGAATTTTAAAAATTATGTTTTGGTAGCATTTGGATTACATCTGCAGATGTATTCCTCATTAGCTTGTTCATTTTTAAGTGAACAAGCTAAGTGTACCATATCAGTTATACCTATTGTATCAGATACACTATTCTTATTTTGGTTTTTTCTAAATAGATTTTTCTTTTTTTTAAAAAAATATTTATTTAATTCCATTTGTTATTATTTTTAATTTGACCAGAGAGAGAGAGAGAGGGAAAGCAAGAAATCAAACCACCAGGTCCAGGAGTCAAACTGTGATGGCTACGTGGGAATCTAGTGCCTCTAACCACACACCACCTGCCGGCCCCTAGATTTTTCTTTTAAATGTGTTTTAGTTGCTAAGATAAAGGAACAGATTACACTCAATTTTCTTTAGGATTTTCATTATGTTCTCTTTGAGTTTATGTCACTTGTTAAACTGTTTATAATTCCAAAGACAATACTGACAGAAACTGATTTTTTATTTTATCATTTAAAAAAAAATTGCTAAAGGGCTAGGGCCAGCAGGTGGCATGGAGATTAAGATCCTGGATTCCATATGGCTGACTATACAGTTTAAGTTATAGCCGTGGCTTAAAAATACAGTGGTTGCTTATGCATGTGTACCCAGAATCCTGAGAAGAGAATGGAGGAGGATTGCAGCATGGCCCTCCCCACTGAAAGGTGACTTCTCTAACCCTCTACTCCTGTCTCTCTCTTGGTCTATGTCCCCAAATGCACATGCCCTATAGCAAAACTTAAAAAAAAAAAAATTGCCTATAGAAGTACACAATCACCAGAGAAAGATCAAGAGAGGGAGGGAGAGGAAGCACCCTTAAATGGAGTGTGGTTCATGCAGCAATTCCTTACCTCCATTTCTTCATCCCAACAGGATTTGGGGCATGCATATGCACATGTGCCTAGCATGTTTTTCCAGGGTCTGGAACTCAGACTGCAGTCAACCCTGTGAGAGAGCTGGCTCACTATGTACAGTGCTTAACCACTCTACTATGGAGCCAGCTCAGAAAATGTGTTTTGTTTTGTTTTTGAATTAAAAACAAAATTTTTAAGCTTTAGGGTGCATGTGCTCACTGGAGAGAGAGAGAAAGTGTGAAATAACTCCATCAGGGAATAGCCATGCCACAATCCCTTCTCTTGCTGAGATTTTGGGCATACATGCATGTGCTTTTCAAGTTTTTCAACATTTAGGAAGCCTAATTCATTAGAACTAGCATGACCAGCTCCCTCCTCCCACATGAAAAACATGTGGCACTGTGATTTTCAAGCTTCCCAGCCCAGGACTCAAAATGCATAGTCAGTCATGTGGGATCCAGTCACTTTAACCACCAGTCTGTCAGCTAGCCCCAGTAACTGTGTGTGTGTGTGTGTGTTTATGTTATTTTATTTACTTTTTTTTTTTTGGTATTTCTTTTTAGAGACACTGAACAGATATTTTACTAATAAGATCATCCTAAAAAGAATTCTGATGAGCAGAATATCATGCAAAATTTTTTCTATATGAGCTATCAATATCATTTAAAAAATAACTTTAACCATTTTTGTAAAGCTCTTAAAAATTGCTAATAAAAAATAGATGCTTATTTTTGTGCTAATACTAATTGCTGATAATACATGCTTATGTTTGTCACTCATTACATGGTACTGTACCAATCAGTGAGTGACTGAAACTCAAGCACTTACACATGTAAATTAGCCATTGCATTTTTTTTCTTTTTTTTACTTAAGTGAGTCATAATGGAAAGGAACTCTAGGTCATAAAAAATCTTTTCTCTTTAATGCTAATGAAATGTCTCTGCTCTCTGTATTAGCAGACTACCCTTATTGGTAATCTGTAGCCTTGTCTTTTGTTCCGGTGGTAATGAAATGCTGGGTGCTGAAAAAGCCAGCTCTTCAAGAATGTGTGGCCAATTGTTTTCTGTTCACTTATACTGTAAAATTACTGTTCCCCAGCAAAGCCGAACAAGTGCGGGGACAAGATCAAAAGAGTGTACATTGGCACCCGGCTACACCAAGTGACTCCTGCTTTATTAATTAGTCATAGCTTCTCCAAGTTAATTTACTCAGATAAGGGAAAAACATTCCTCAATATAAAACAACAAATTACAACTCAAGCGCAAGCCTTTCCTGTTTGCTTTCTTTAACTTTCAGTTTGAACCTTTCCACTGTTTTATAAACTACATGTCCCTCACTTTTCTGAACCTTAGGGCACAAAAGCTATTTGTAATTAAAAAAATAATAATTAATGATATAGTCAAATGGCCATTTTAGTCTCTAAAATTTGGTAACCTTTAACTGATATTATTCTTTTAAAAAGTCAGTGTGTTGAGAATCCAATTTATAAGTGCTGTTTGCTACTAAAATTTGTAAGCTTGTTCAGTCCTCTCCTCAGAAATGCCATTAGTGCATAAGCATTTGGAAAGGACCTTCTCTGTGTTTTTGCAGAAGCAAAATTTGACAGTGATTCCCAAGTTCCAAATTAAATAATATCAGTACCACTTTCTTTTTCATTTCAGTCACCACATTGGAAGTTTTTGAAGTCTTTTTAATTTAAGTTATCTTCAATAGTTTTTTATTTAATATGTTTTCAAATTATAGCCTGAGACAGTAAAAAGGAAAAAAAAAAAGAAAAGAAAAAGCCACTCATCTTCATTTCATAGTTTTGTTATATTTTGTTCAGATAGGAAGTGATTTAGACTTGTGCAACCCAGGTTGTCTGTTCAAACCGTTTAGATAGTAACTTTGAGTATTTTGACCTAATTGAGAGAATCCTACCATTTCTTATGTTCTCTAACATGGTTTAAAAATAACAATGTAATTTATTTTGTGAATATATATAATGTTAGTTTTAACGAGAATATTTGAAATGTGCTATTAAATAAAGATCAAAATATTTTTACACTGGGAATATCTAAAACTCATGTTATTTTTTATACTTATATATTTATTTTTGTCAGTCTTCATCAGACATTTATTTCTTCATGAATTGTAAAAGCTTTTTAAAAACAATATTAAGGTAACTTTTAATTGTGAATTTAAAAAATAATTTTAGAAAAGATGCATAGTTATGTTTATGTCTAATCTAGCTTATATAGAATAGTTTTATTTGCATGATGCATTTTTTCCTAGTTTTGTTAGGAGTTATTTTTTTAAAAAATACTGTATTAACCATTTTTGTTAGTTTTATTTCTTTTTTTGTAGAAGGAATATTTATGTTTGTGAAGGTTAGCAGAGGCTGGCTGTGCTGGAAGTGACTGCAGTGCCTTTTGATTATTCATGGACAGTAATAGAAGGCACTTAAAAAGAACAATGAAATTGCTTATTTTTGTGATGGGCCATCTGTTGAATTGTTTTGTGCAACAATTGCACAATAGTATCTATGTCACATCATTCTATTTTCAACAGCAGCTGATTATGTCTCACTGGCTACTTGTCCTTATTTCTAAAGTCCCATGGCCATTTAAAGTCACCTTTCCAAGGACCTTTGCCAGAAAGGTATTGGAAATCTCAAACAGCCTGTGTACTTTGTTATTATTTTTTTCTCTCTCTCCTCTTTTTTTGGTGGGGGTGGGTGCTGGTGGGTGAGAGTAGAAAGAGGGAGTTGGTCATGCTAGTTCTAATTAATTAGGCTTCCTAAATGTTTAGGACAATTATCTATGCTTTCCACCTGTAGTTCTATAAAAGACGTTAACATGGAACCATTTGATAGTCTGTGTGGAAATGATAGACTTGCAAAAAAGAAGAGTTAAATTTAAAAGACTGCTTATGTAGTCTTTCATGCTTTTAATTATCTACTCGTTTCTTCATGGTGATAATTAGAATTTTTCTCTTGGAATTCACTCTCTTCTTAAAAAAAAAAAAAAAAGAAAAAAAAAAGAGCCATTAGCAAATTTGTTAGAGCAGAAGTGAAATTAAAATAAAACAAATGTGTTGTTGTCCATAGGTCACTGACATTGCTGACGCCATGATTCTCAAACAGCTTTTTGAAAATCTGTTCAAAAACGGGGTCGTCGTTGTGGCAACATCCAACAGGCCACCGGAAGGTAAAAACAAACATTGTGCTAGTCTCATCCAATTAGGTGAGAACTAACAAGCTTTTAAAATCCATAGTTTTCTGCTCATTTTCTTGTGTTAATAAATCTGATGACTTTGCTTATCATTAGTTTTATAATTGGCTTAATCTGAAAAATCTGTTGGTATTTGCATTTGAAAAGTGTTTATATTCTTAGCAAGTTAAATGCAGTTGATCTTACATGTCTGATGCACTTGCTGTGTTTTTTTCCCTGAATATTAAATATGTCATAGGTACAAATAAAAAATTCAGCCCTTCTAACTGCTTTTTATGGGCCATAAATGAAACTTAATTAAATGAGACATAAAACTCCTAATTAAATTTTACAAAAGGACTTAAAGCTCTCTTGCATGAGTAGTTTCTAATACTTCACTTAATTTATCATTTCTAAAAAAAGCACACTTGTAGTTTATTAGGAAAGTAGTTAAGAATTAAAATACAAATAATATTTAGATAAAAACAACAAGCTTAAGATCTTGTATCTTTCAGCCCATCCTCTGATCAGCTAAAGGTTTGAAGAACCAAAAATAATATTGTATTTATTTATTTATCTATTTGGAGAGGGTTTTTGCTATAGGGCACATACGCTCACCAGAAAGACAGAGAGACAGAGAGCAAGAAATCACCCCTGGGGGGATGGCCACGCCACAATCCCTTCTTCATTTTCCTCTCGGGATCTTGGGCACGCATGTACATGCGCCCGGCATGAGTTTAAGCCACCAGGTCAGGGATTCGAACTGCGGTTGACTACATGGAAGTCCAGCGACATAGCCATTACGCCAACTGCTGGTCCCCCAAAATAATATTTTATAAGAGACTTCATGTGAACATCCTTCTGCCTGAAATGCTCTTCCCCCAAATATCTGCATGGCTAAATCTTTACCTCCTTCAAGTCTTTGCTCAGAAGTTACTCTCCATAGTTATTTTGCCAGGGAAGCCTCATTTGTCTTCCTATTAGAATCTTCAACACACTTCTTTTTCCCTGCTACTGCTCTTTTTAGCCTGCTGTATATTTTTCTCATAGCACTTATGGACCTGCCATATAATTTACTTATTTATTAATACTTACAGTATTTTTATTGTTCCTCTTCCAGGATACAAAAGCTTCATGAGGGCAGTAATTTTATTGCTTCTGTTTATTGATATATTCTAAACATCTGTAACAGGGCCTAACACATAGATGGTGCTTAGTAAATAGTCTTAGAACAAATGTTGAATGAATGCATGTTTTAAAAGGGTCTCTCAGGTCAGCCAGTGGCGTGGCGTTAAAGTGGCTGGATCTCAATGGCTAAATGCTTGGTTCAAGTCCCAGACCTAGTAACTTGAGAAACACATCGGGCTTGTGTGAGTGCATGCCCAAAATCCTGGTAGAAGGGAGAAATGGAAGAGACGGGATTGCAGTGTGACTATTCCCCATGGGGGTGGGAGATGCCTTTTTACTTTCTCTCTATCCTGCTGATGAGCTCATGCACCCTCTGGCAAATTAAAAAAAAAAAAATCTCTGACTTCAATATTGAGAATATGTTGCTGGACTCCCACATAACTGACTGTGGTTTGAGTCCCACACTGGGTAGCTTGAAATTTACACCAGGCACATGTGCATGCATGCCCAAGATCCTGGGAGGAGAATGGAAGAGAAGAGATTGTGGTGTGGCCATGCTCCCTGGGAGGGGATTTCTCACATTCCCTTTCACTATCTCTGTCTCTCTCTCTCTCTCTGGTGAGCATTCATGTCCTAAGGCAAAAATCTTTCCAAAACAAAAGAACATATTATGGGGATGAGGTTTTAAGATTGGAGACTATTTAGGAGACTGTTGTGACAGTCCTGAAGGGAAATGATGGAGCAGTGAAGTGATAAGAAGTGATCAGATTCTAGATATATTTTATAGGCAGAATCAATAGGATATATGCAGGGAACAGATTTAAGCTATGGGAAAAAAGAGAAAGATCAAGAATGACTAAAAGGTTTTGGCCTGAACAATCAGAAAGATGAAGTTGCTGTTTATTAAGATGGAGAAGATATGGGAAAAGCAGGTTTGGGTAGGGAGGTTTTTTAAGGTTTTTGCTATAGGGTGTGAAACTCACAGGAGAGAGAGAGAGAGAGACAGTGAGAAGGAAAGTGAGAAATCTTCCTTGGGGGGGATGGCCATGTCATAGTCTCTTTTCTATTCTCCTCTAGGGTATGCACGTACATGGACCCAGAGTGATTTTCAAGTTGCCAGGTCCAAGACTTGAACTGCAAAAGGCCATGTAGGACTCCAGCACCTTAACCACCACACCACCTGCTTGCCCCTAGGAGTCATCATTTCTAAAGCAGATTGGAAAGAGCAGCAGTGAGGTAGGAGAACTAAGAGAGTGGCAAATGAGGAAAAGTGGTGCAAAGAGGATGGATGGATGTTCACCTTTGTTAAATGCTGCTGCAGCTGAAAATAAGGTTCAGAATTAACTGTTAAAAATTGGTAACATGGAGGGACCAGCAGATGGCATAATGGTTACATCGCTGGATTCTCACATAGTTGACCGCAGTTTGAGTCCTGGGCCCGACGGCTTAAAACTCATGCTAGGCGTGTGTGTGTGTGTGTGTCCAAAATCCCAAGAGAAGAATGGAGGAGAAGGGAATGTGGTATGGCCACCCCCCTTGGATGTTGATTTCTTGCTTTTTGTCTCTCTGTCTCTCTGGCAAGCACACGTGCCCTATAGCAAAAATCTCTCTAAGAAAAAATAAAGAATTGATAACGTGGAATTTGTTAGTGAACCTGAAACAAGCAATGTAATAATTTGAGCTTGCTGGAGAGAGAGGAAGAGAGAGAGAGAAGGAAAGTGGGAAAACACTCCCCTTCATGGGAAATGGTCATGCTGCAATCCCTTCTCCTCCATTTCTGCCCTGCTGGGATTTTGGGCATGCACACATATGCTCTGCCCAGCACTTTTTTCAAACCACTGGGTCCAGGACTAGAACCAAACAGTTGGCCACCTGGGATCCAGCAGTCTTATCCACCATGCCATGCGCCAGCCTGGTTATCACTGATCTTTGTCTACTCTGTCCCAGGTAAACATTTCCTCTTTTTCAGCCAACAAAATGCAGTCAACTGTTTTTTTTTTATTATTTTTTATTTTTAAAATATCACAGCTTTTGATCTAGAGTCCCCGGATAGGCTTTTAAATTTTTATTTTAAGTAGAATCTGTTTATTCCCAGACTTTTCCTATGCCTGTCTTCCAATTCCTGTCTTCCTCAGCTTGTCCTCTCTACACCATGCAACTGTTAAAACCCAAAAGCAAGTATCAGCTTATGGTTACTACTATTTTAGTCTCCTGCCTTTTTTTATGTCTCAAGGGATTTTCATAACTTCTTTGCAAGCTCAAAATTATTTTGTAGTGGGGCCAGCAGTTAGCGTAATGGCTATGTTGCTGGACTCCCACGTAGTCGACTATGGTTCGAGTCCTGGACCCGGTGGCTTAAACTCAGGCCAGGCACGTGTGCGTGCATGCCCAAGATCCCGAGAGGAGAATGGAGAAGAAGGGATTGCGGTGTGGCCATCCCCCACTGGGGGGTGATTTCTCGCTTTCTGTCCCTCTGTCTGTCTGGCGAGCGCATGCACCCTATAGCAAAAACCTCTCCAAAAAAAAAAATATTTTGTAGCAATACTGTTTTAGGTCTTATTTTATTTATTTATTTATTTATTTATTTTTGCTATGGGTGTTTGTGATTGCCAGAGAGACAGAACAGAAAGTGATAAATCACTCCCCGCCACCCCGGTGGGGGGGATGGCCACACTGCAGTCCCTTCTCTTTCATTCTACTCGGGATTTTGGGCATACACGTACATGCATTGGCATGAATTTCAAGCCACTAGGTCCAGGACTCAAACTGTGGTCAACCACATGGGACTCTAGTGCCTTAATCACTATACCATGTTTTATATTTTACAGAATAATAGCTAAGGTCTTGAACCTGAATCAGAGAGGGTCTTGGATTAAATCCATAGAAAAGGGAAACTGTTAGAAAATTCCAAGTAGGGGACCAGCAGATGGCATAATGGTTATGTTGCTAGGCTCCCCACATAGTCCAGCAATGGTTTGAGTGGATCATGGAATCAAGATCCTATTGGCAGTGCTCTGTCTCTCTGTCTCTCCTTTGCTCATAGGAGACATAAACAAATTTGTGTGTATATGTGTGTGTGTGTACATATATACATATATAGAGAGAGTTTGTAATTAATTTTTATTTTTACAAAACCTGAAACAAATTACTCATTTGGTAATTTTAGAGAGCTTTTTTTTTTTTTTTACTATAGGGCGCGTGCGCTCGCCAGACAGACAGAGAGAGACAGAGAGACAGAAAGTGAGAAATCACCCCCCAGGGGGGATGGCCATGCCGCAATCCCTTCTCCTCCATTCTCCTCTCAGGATCTTGAGCACGCACGCACACGCACCCGGTATGAGTTTAAGCCACCGGGTCCAGGACTCGAACCATAGTCGACTACGTGGGAGTCCAGCGACATAGTCATTACGCTAACTGCTGGTCTCCTCATTTGGTAAATTTGTCATTTAGGTAAATATTTTTATTTTTGTCTTTATTTATGATTTAGCACTTGCCATATGCACTTAAGAGTAAAACAGAGTAAAACAGAGAGAAAGAGAGAGAGGAGCACCCTATACAAGGTCTGATCACAGGCCAACCAGTGGTGTGGTGGTTAAGGTGTCTGGATCCCACAGGGCCAACTGTGTGGTTTAAGTCCTAGACCTGATGGCTTGAAAATCATGCCAGGTGCATGTGTATCTGCCCATCCAAAATCCTGAGAGGAGAATGTGGCATGGTCATCTCCATTGGGGGGTGCTTTTTTACTGTTTCTCTCTCAAGGAGTGCATATACCCTATAGCAAAACTAAAAAAATGAAAACAAAACAACACAGAGTCTGCTCGTGTCACAACCCCCTTCCTGTAGTCTTCCAACCCATTGGCTCTTGGGGA